ATATGATAAAAAAGATGAAAGTGTTAAATTAAAAGTTGGAGGTGTAAAATTAAAAATTAAAGAAAAAGATTAAGAATATTTCAGAAAATTATATATAAAAAAGGTGTACTTATTAAAAAAAAAAAAAAAAAAAAAAAAAAAAAAAAAAGAGGTGCATATATCATGAGTCAAATTAAAGTATAAGTCTAGTCATTATCTATTATAGTTTTTTTTATAGATTTGACTTGACTTTTTTAAAGAACTAGTCTGGCCTATTAATTAATTTAAAAATTTATTTTATATTAATGATATTAATTAGGTTAATAAACACAATTTTTAAAAAGTAACAAATCTATTTTTAAATATATTGTTGAGTTATTTTTTAATTTATGTGATAAAAAAAATAATTTACTCAGTATTATTAAAATTTAGATTAACTTTAGAAGAAATATATACAATGTTATAAAGAGAGGATAAATGAATCATTTTTTGTTAGAGGGATATTTCGTGCACACTCATGTATGTTGATGTACACTCACCCACAAGCGATAAACATGTAATAAAAAAGGTAATCTTATTCTTATCCAAAAAGAAAACTTTTTAAATATTTCTGGTGCATTTAACATATTCTAAATAATTGACTTCTATTTTAACAAACTAAAATAGTTATAGTAACAAATTAAAAAATACGTACATGAGGTTTCTATTAAAGAGACAATTCATGTACACTCATATTCAATGACGTGCACTCATATGCAATAGATGTGTTGGGATTTTTATTTGTGATGTCTTGATTTTATATGAAATGGTTATATAAAATGTCTAAATAGAGTGATAAAAAATATTGATAATTTTTTCTTATAAATTTATTTATTTATATTATTGATAATATATGTATATTAACTTTTATATTATATTATAATATAAACAGGCTGGTGTATTAAGCCTAACATGTTTTCTTTATAAGCCCATGACTAATATTTTTAAATAAATATACTTCTTTAAAAGTCTAAATCTGATCTTTTTATTAAATAAATTAGACTTTAAAAAAAGCATGTCATAGACCACTGTTTAAGATCTGACATATTATCATCCTTACTACTAACACCATCATCATTATCATTATTATCACCATTATCACAGCCATTGTCACCATTACAATCATGTAGTGACAATAGTAGCAACGATGATAATGGTATAGTAATAAAGTGGTAGTGATGTTAATAGTTATGAATATGATAATAGTAATGATATCATAAGAGGACAATTTATAATTGAGTTTTAATCTTAGTCATTATTTTTTTTATAATTTAAAGGTTATTATTTAGCCTTCTCATCTATCACAATAAGACAATGGTGGTGGTGGCAACCATTTCTCAATGTTTACATAGGCATGTGATAAGGAAATGATATTTTTAGGTCAACTCTCCACTTTAGGTTAGTCCAAATTGCTTAGGGGTCGTCAAGCACTTCTAGTAATATTTGTCTACCTCCCTCAGAATGCAACATGTCATCTCCTACATGGCTTAACCAAGCTAAAGGAGTTTATGGTAATAACTTCAGAGAAACTAAGTTGTTTTGCGTCGATTATATCAACCTATGGTTATAGGTAGTTTGCCTACCAAATTCTATCCTAATGAACTTTAGGGTTTCCAAGCTACGCCGGCTACTAGAAAGCCTAAGGCTATCTTGATAATCTTGGTTATCCAAACCTTGGATGGACTGATGCAAGGATCGTTACCCCCCATTATGGATCAAAATATGATAGTTGAGGCTATTTGAAAGCATTTTGGGGTACACTAAATCCTATTGATTGACCTATTTATAGAAAACCCTACTCCTTATTAGTATGTATAAAGGTTGCAACCTTACTAACAACTTTTGGTATTCTACCTCAAAATTCTGACCAACAATATGCAACATATGTAACTTAACTATATCCTTCTCCATGCCAACAATCTTCCTAAAATCTTAATACATCTTAATAGCTTTTGGATAGATACTTAGATTACTACTATTTCCTTCATCTAAGATTTTGTTAAGTTCAAGGAAAATAAGCACACACAACACATCTTGGAATCCTAAAACTGTAATATTCTGAAACTTTGATATAATATTATAATTTTTTTTATCATTATATTCTTCTTAGAATAATATTTTCTTAAAAAAATTTAGTTACCTTATTTAAAATAAATAAATATAAATGTCTTATTTTGATATATTATGATTTTAGTTACCTTATTTAAAATAAATAAATATAAATTTTAGTTACCTTATTTAATAATTATAATGGTAAATAGATTGATCTACCAACCATACCAACCCCTTTCACTTCTGTTAGCATTGCTGTCTTTTTGAGTACTAGTTGTGCTATGGATGCAACCGCAAATGCTATAACATTTCAAGGCATATATAGGAGTATCAACTTTTATTTTTTCACCAATAGTAGTCACTTTTTTATTTACCTCCAACAAATCATGTTAATCTAATAGTAAATTTGTATCAACCCAACATGTAAATACTGTAAGGAATGAAAAGAAAAAAAGAAAAAAATAGTTTGTAAATAAGTATGTTGCTATAAATAGTTTTGAATAGTACGTAATGTAATTATAAACTAACTATATGTAAACAAGTTTCCAAAATCTTCCTTTGTTTTATAGTAATATTAATGATATATACTTGTGTTACTAATCTATATATATATATATATATATATATATATATATATATATAATATTGTTTTATATTATACAAAATTATGCATTACATTTTAACTCCATCTATACTCACCTTTATTAAGATAACTCTTCCTTGTCTTGGTTCAAGTTCTCACTAATTCAAGTTATCAAAAACACATTTATTTTTAGGTTTTCCTTAATCTCACCTAGAACTATTAGTTATTTTCAACATGTCCAACTTAAGATTCTTCTGAATTACCCACAATTCAAACTAAGGTTTCTAAACTTGTTCTAAAAGGTATGACTCGTTAACCACATCAAAGAGACATTTAAAATTTTCTACTCAAGATTTAAAATTATAGTTTTGAAGAAACTCTAATAATCTTTTTTGTTTCATGTTTAACTATATTTTATTTTTATATAGGATAGTCTTCCCATGGTCCTTAAGCTTTCTAAACACATAGGTTATTATATTAATTTCTACATAAGTACACCTCCTAAAATCATCTTAAATTCAATACAAACAATTACAAAAGTTCCACTAGAAACGAGTAAATCTAGAACAAGTATGATAGTTAGCCTATTCTCAAGCTCTTGGCAACTACTCACATATAACATCTCACACAAAGATTTGACCCTTCCTAATCCATTATAGAAACCTCTATCTCTCTCCTAGGTGATGGATTCTTAAGGAATTTTTTTACAAATTTTTTAACACAAAAGAGCTTAGAAACATTTTTTAGAGCTTTTTTTTGAAAATACGTTTTATTTTTAGTAGCTAGAAAAGTTTTCAAAAATGTTTCTACCTTGTATCCAAACAAGCTTTAAGAGCATTTCTCACACCTAACGTAAAGAGATGAGAAAAACATATTCTTAAGGAAATTTTTACAAATATTCTAACTAAGAACATTTCTGATGCTTGACGTTAAGAGGTCAAAAAGCTCTCAAGAATTTGTGTTCAACATGGTTGAGGCCACCCCTGGTGAGCAACTTACATAAAAAAAAATATCAAATGGAGCCTAATGCTTGTGACCTATTTTTCCCCAACACCAAGAGAATAGAGAGCTTTGAAGAATAAACACCTTTAGTGCCATGATTTTACACCCAAAGTGATCACAAATTGAAGGCTTCCTATGGCCTCCAATTTTTCTAACTCATCCTTAATTAATCAATTAATTTGACTACCAATTCATCCTATTTGATTTTAGATTCCCTAAGAGGTTATCACAATTACTCCTAATTCTATAAATAGGATACGAAATCAAACCCTATACGATTTAATTGCACAACATAGGAATTCAACCAAATAATAAATCAATTCAATTATCAACCATAGCAAATTATAGGCATAGGAGTACTATACCCGGTAGTGAATGTACTTACATGACTATGAGGGCAATTGCCCCCACAATTTTTTTTTTACTTATATTATATTGAATAAAACAAAATTTGCCCCATAACAAATTGTTATTTTCTCAATATAACACAATATTTTAAAATAAAAGATAAATAAAAATTAATAAATAAAAAAATAGAAGTAATGGTTAGATATTTTTATTTTTTTTTTGTCATGAGATTGTATTTTGCAAAAGTTTAATATTTTTTTTCTTCTATAAAACTATTAAAGATTAATTTCTTTACCTACACTAATAAATATTTCTAGATTCGTCATTGATCATTATTCCTTTAATATCATATGAATCACCTCACAATGCATAATTATTATAAGTGTTTCACATATGAAACAATTTTACTCTCCCTTTTACTTCAAATATTGATCTTAAATGCAAAGGTTGTGATCTCACATATGCAAGTGTTACTCTTCAAGTTTTTACAATAGAGCCTCCTTTGCAAGCTCTCTCTCCCTCAAGCCTCAGAAGCCAAAAGCATAAAATGAAAAGTAACTAATGTGCACAACTCTCTAATCCCTCACTTACTCTCTAAGTTAATTTATTAGTGGGTGGGGTTTCTTTGAGTGGAGACCCATCTTAACCAATCATTACCTATTAACTCTACAATCCATTTTATTTTTATTATTTATTAAAATAATATTTATTTATAGTAAAATCTCAATTAACCAAATTAATTAAGTAAAATAACATATGTTAAACAATTATATTCTTCTACTTACGAAAAGTTGGATATTACACAACTAATAACTAACTCTTTGATATCATACCTTGCAATATAAATTTCAGTAAAAAGAAAAACTAACACAAAAAATTTATTCAATATATTGACGAATTCTTACAAGTTGCCATTACAATGGAAGATGATTTCACATTACAAGTATCCAAAAAAGAACTCGTATTACAAGTTTGAACAAGAGAACACGACCAATATGTTTTTAACCTTTATCTTTTGGTTGCGATAAATTGAGATTTTTTAACAAATATTTTCAAAGACAACTCTTTGGGATGACTGTTCCAATGTTAAACCCACCAACATTTGTACAAGATGACATAGCAGATCGGTTATAGTAATTGAGGTTTATGTCTTGTAATTTGATACCCTCACATGGTTTGCTTTGGCTGCAATCAAAATTTATTGCTACTGGACATGCTGAAGTTCCCTTTATTTGTTCATATGATACTCTGCTTATCTTCACGCTTGAACCCTTTATTCAAAATAGTATTAATTAAAAATAATCATTTGGTAACACTTATTATTGAAAAATAATTATTTATTTTTTTTAAATTCATTAGCTACAAAAATTGAGAAAATAAATAATTATTTATTTAAAATAACATAAACTAAACACGCTCACTAATTAAGAGCCAATAAGTTGTTTCAGAGTTTTAGAAGATAAACATCCCCGGAATCATAATTTTTGTGAAAACATCATTGCTATGTAATGCAAATTTTACTTCTTGTGATCAATAAACAGCTCACGAGTCCTTTGATTTTGATTTTTATTTTTAAAGGCAAAAGTATCATTTTTGTAATAGAAAACGGTAAAATAAATTTTATTATTTTAACTGTTTTCTATAAAAAAATTTTGAAAATAAAAATAAAGTCAAAATAAAGTGACATTTATGGTAATTAAAGATGAAAATAAAAATCTTAAAAAATATTTTTCTCAATCCAACAAAAAAAAAATCTGATTTCGAAACAAAATCCTTAGAAATAGACAAGTGACTTTTTACTGCCATAATTAAATTGAAAGTAGAATTGACTCACATAAAGTAAGTAACGTGAAGTGAGAAAGTATCTATGTATGTAGAATTGATATAAAAATTATGAAAATCATATATTAATTCAAATTAAATTATTAAGACTAGATAAATTCTTATGTTTTCATCTTGCATGTTTGCTTATTTGAAACTTTATTGAAAACTCACCTCATGAGGACAACTTCCAGAGGGGCAATATGTTTGATCAATAATGATGGGGTTATAGGCATTTTGCATGGTGAGATTCTTGAACACAATGTCTCTTACATATCCATTGCTTGATTTTGACCACGATTTTATCCTAACCCCATTTTGTGTTTCGCTGAATACTGAATGGATCACCGTCACATTCTGAACTCCAGCCTCGTTCACAAAATTGCCCAAGCTACCAATGCTGCAAAGTCCAACAAAAACGTATATGTGTAAGAATATAAAAAAAAAATTAAAACAAGAAAAATAATGGATACACAAGGGAAAAACAAATAGATTTAATTGCAATTTTTACCACTCATATTTCTCAATTTCGTGAATTTTCTCACCTAAGTTTTAAAATTATATATTTTGTCACTTAACTTTCAATTTTTACACATTTATCTTTATGTTAATTAATTGATTTTTTGTTTATATTTGTTGATTACTGATGTGACATATTAATTATTAACGAATAATATTAATTACTAACGTGACATATTAATCACTGACGTGTAATGTTAATCGCTAATATGATATATTGTTTTAGGAAATTAAGCACATATATGTCATATTAGTGATCTACATTAATAATTTTCATGTCATATTAACCATCAATATGTTATGTCAATAATTAATATGTTAAATCAATAATCAATTAATAATGATAAAAACATGTAAATTTTTATAAATTAAATAAAAAAATGTGAAATTTTAAAAATTATAAAATGTGAGTGGAAAAAAATGTAATTAAACAAAAAAGATTATGCAAAGTGAAGGTCAAAATCAAATTTACCTAATGCCATGTCCAGGACCACAAGCAACATGCTCAATCCACACATTGGTGTTACCTTGGCTAATGGATATGCAATCATCACCGGTCATTATGGTGGAATGGCTAACATTAACCCTAGTTGAAAACTGCATATTGATTCCATCTGTATTAGGGCTTGTACTAGGAGCTTTGATATTCACATTTTGGATCAAAACATCCTTGCAATAATTGAGGGACATGTGCATGGCTTGGCTATTTAATGATGTTAATCCACTAACCCTCACATTGTTGCACCAACTGAACGATATTGACTGCATATTGCATCACAAAATCAATTGTTAGTTCTCAACATGAAAGATATCAAAAGACAAAATATATGATGATTATATTATATTAAAAAATAAAGAGTGTTTAATTTTCAATTTTAAATTAAAAACCAAAAGAAAAAGAAAAACAAATTTGTAATTAAAATGAAAGAAAAATATATTTTTAATTTATTTTGAGGTATAATATTGTATTTCTAGAAATTTCATTCCCAGGAATATTATATATACTTAGGAATGTTATTTCCATGAACATTATTTTGTTAAATTAAAAAAAAAAAATTGGTGTAGAAAAAGTAGGAAATAGTTATTAAAAAAAATAACCCTCATTTCCATGAGAATATATCACACTCATTCTTAATCATGGGAACATAACACACTCATTCTTTACTATGGGAATGAAAAACATATCAAATGTGAATGTTTTATATTTTTGATGATAAAACATATTAAAAAATATTTTTTATAACCTTATAACAAACATAGGAATATATACTCACACCTTCATATTTTCAAGAGATTATTTGAAAGAAATACCTCCTATAAATTATTAATTTTACAAAAAAGTAAAGATAGTTTTGTCCTTAATTTTGAAAATTTTATCTCTTTAATAAAAGACAAGCAAACGAAAAGAATAAAAATTAAAATGAAAGAATAGAAGTATATGCAATTTATAATAAATATATAAATCAAGTACGGTTCTACTACATACCCTTGCTCCATTAGGACAACTCGATCCTCCACTTTTGCAACCCCAATAGCCATCACCCTTTCCATCAAGAATCCCACCATTTATTGAAATCCCACCATCTAGATTGCTAAACAAGATCCAATATCCAGAATTACCCAATGACAAATAATTTGAAGGGGCAACAATAGTGCCATCAATTTGAAATATAATATTGTTTTTGCAAGGACCCCCAAATGTCACTTGTTTTAACAAGAAACTTCCTTTGGGTACGTAAATTTTGGATTGTTCTACTGATGTGCATGCCGAAGACCATGCCCTAAGGAAGGGAGTGGTAGAGTCGAAATTTCCATCAGGTTTAGCCCCAAAGTTAACCACATTGATCAATGAAGCATTAGAAGTAACGAAAAAAAAGCTGAAATTGACCAGAAAGAGTAAAACAAAATGATTTGTGTAATGACCCATGGGATGATAAAACAAATATTAGTAAGATAATAAGATCGATCCGGTGAAAAATAGTTGTATTTTTTTATTTATATATGATATAATGTGTTTAAGAAAATGTACAAAGTATAAATCATCCCATAAAAATTATGTATTTATATTCAAATTCCGACTTTTGTTCACCATTAAATTATTTTGACTTTTGTTCAGCATTAAATTATGATTTTGGTGACAAGATTTTGATTTTCATTATTTTCAAATTTTACAAAAAATCTTTTTACTTTATTGTTTGAACCAAATGAGAAACATAATTAATAGAATGTCTAAAAGTGAAGAGAAAAAAAATGAGAAACAAATAACTAGCAAGAAGTGTCTAAAAGGGCGGAAAAAAGGTCTACATTAAAAGCAATTCAAAGTCAAACTTACTTTCTTTTTTCATAGAAAAATATTTAAAATTTACACTTTTGATATACATCACCAAAAATTATTTAAAGTAATTATGTAAATATTTTTATTAGTACAACTAGGTTGAAATATTTTGCGTGAGAGAATAAAATTGAATATAACTTTCTGAAAACTTCTCATAGATGCGAGTCAAAAGCATTTAACAATTTAATATTGAAAATATAATTAATTAAATTCTTTTACTTATATGAATTACAATAATGACAACATGATTCATCAAATAATAAAAATATATTGGAAAAAATTTATCATTTGAAAAAACACTAAATTAAAAATAGAATGCATTAATTAAAAAAAGCTTAATTGTATTTTGTGTCTCCAAAGCTTTATTTTTTTGGCAAATTTTGCTCTTAAATTTTTTATTCTTGCAAATTATGCTCCAAAACTTTTAGATTTTGACGATTTGTATACTCATGTTAATTGTTATTCGTTAAAATACTTATGGGGTGCTAACGTGACATATTTGACATTGATAAACTTGATGAAATAGCATGTTTGATGAAAGCCTAATTGCACTTTGTGCTCTCGAACTTTTATTTTTTGGCAAATTTTCTTCCAAGTAATTTTTCTCATGATTTATTCCTTGAACTTTTAGATTTCAATAATTTGCACCCTCTTATCAATTGTCTATCAAAAAAGTTTTGGGGATCTGTGCTCTTTTATTAATTTTTTGTCAAAATACTAATAAATGTTAGTACTAGTGAATTAGCATGTTCATTACAAGGTCTAACCATAGGATTTGATATCTATTAAATTATGAAGTACACACATATGATCCATCACATTTTTAAGTATAGAAATGCAAGCATGTTAAGTTTACACAAATAGTACCTATTTTGATAAATGTGGGAACTGATTATTAGGTACATGGGTATATGTTATAAGCATGCTACTTTTCACTTGGATTCATGTGAAATATACAAAATATCTATACATTAAAAAATAGTAACTAATTATTACACTAGTTGTTCAAAAGTTCAGGAATTGAATTGTCACAATTCAATCAAAAAATAAAACCAAATGATTTGTATCATTTGGACTATCCATCCATTTTAGATGCAGTCTCACAAATAGAGATATCCTATTTTTATAAAATGGATTCAGTAGGATCAATAAATTTAACTAAGTTTTAGTTTAATTAATCAAACACTCTAATATAAAGCCATAACTAATTGAATAAGTAAAAAGCTTATCAAAAAGTTATTTGACCTTACAACAACACTTTATTATAAGAAATGTCCAAAAACTGAAAAGTTAACAAGGATGGAAACAACACTCGTGTCAATGTGTACAAATGGGAGTATATAGACAAAGTATATAAAAGAAACTTGCAAGGTATATTAAAAGATCACAATTATATTAAGTCAAACTATCATTTTACATAACATTAGAGCAAATGTAATTTACAACATTTAATCCTTCCCTACAAGTATCTCAAATAATTACCGATAAAAGTTTCACTAAGACACTTTTCTTCTACATTTGGACCCTTTACAAGGGCACAAATGATAGATACTTCATTATCATTTTGATGGACAATTGATTAAAGAACACAAATCACCAAAATTTAAAATTTTGGGGCATAAATCGTGAGAAATTTTACTTGGGGACGTGATTCATCAAACAACAAAACTTTAGGGCACAAAGTGCAATTAGGTCTCCATCAGACATGTCATGTCATTAATTTTATCTACCTTAGGCATGTCATATCAACACTTTGTTAGTATTTTGACAAAAAATTGACAAAATTCACAAATCGCCAAAATTTAAAAGTTTGGGACATGATTTGTGAGAACAAAAACTTGGGGGTGAAATTCATCAAAAAGTGAAAATTGAGGGTACAAAGTGAAATTGTTTAAAAATGCTTTTCGACAATCCTTTTGAGAAAAAGAAATGTAGATTACAAAAAAAAAAACAATTTCAAACACATTTAATTAAAAAAATAATATTGTATTTTGATTTTAATAATTTAAAAAAATTAAAAATAGAAAGGTTGAATACAAGTTATTTTTTTGGAAATGATATATGTATTTTGAAAAAAAAAATCATAAATAGAATACATAAATTCATGAACTCAAATACTTTTAATTAAAAATATTATTTTATTTTACTTTATTATTGTAAAAAAAAACACGGTGAAAACTAAATATCTTTTATTTTATTTTTTGGATTAGATTTTTTATTTTAAAAATAATTTGATTAATATTTTAATACCATTTTTAGCATAAATATGTGCATTTGTGATATAGTATTTATATGTTTTGTTTTGCTTGTTGTGGGACTTGAGTAAGTGTTGAAATAACCCTTAAGTTACATATGATATTACTTAAGTGTGACAGTTGACTCTGGGAGGCCTAAGGTATATAAGAAAATTTTGGAAAAGGAACTTCATAAATTTCACATTTCAGGATTATATAACGAAGTTAGTGAGAATGGCTCTATGGCTCCATGTTGTTGTTTGAGCTTATGATCATCTTTGAAGCTGTGGATATTTCCCCCAAAGTTAAAGATTGAAGCATATTGAAATTAAAAGAATATTATGGAATTGAGAACTTGAGAATTAAAGTCATGGGAGCTCTTGTTAGGATCCGTAAAGGGAGTTTCTCTTCTATTTCAGTTCTTCTCAGTAAGGAGCTTGATTGAAGTAAAGGAGCTTGATTGTAAATTATACATATTTTACATGCGTAATTGTTGTTGTATATAGCAAGATTATTGGTTGAATTGTTGAGATCGATGATGTTCATATTTTCAATTTTGGGTCAAAACCTTTAATCAATGATTTATGTTACAAAGCTTGATTACATGCATTTTTTTAAGTTTGAATAATTATTTTTGATGTTGTTGAGAACATTTTCTTTAGTTAAATATTGTTGGGGAGGGTTGGATGGCTCTACATATTGGAAATGTAGGGGCTTTTCACTTAACAAGCCTTCATAGATGAAACTAATTTGGACTTGAATGTTGTTTCTCTTTAACTAGCTTGTATTGTTAGAAAAGAATGGCTCAATCCAAGAGGGGGGGGGGTGAATTGGATTCTATGACACTTTAAAAATTTTCAGAGCTTTTAGGATCCTTATTTCAATCTAAACTTTTCTAAAATGAATTTTCAAAGAAGTTTCTCAAAGACTTGTGAATGAAGAATGAATCCTATATGCTTTCTTGATTAACCAATAATAAGATTCAAAGTTAAGAACAATATGTAATACTTTGATTCAGTTTAAACCAATGTTGCTTATGCAAACATGTTAATCAAGAACAATCTTTTTCAATATACAATCAAGATATTACACAAAGTAAAAGATAAGGGTAAGAGAAGATTGCACAAGTCTTTTATCCTGGTTCAGCCACTCCACATGTGACCTACATCCAGTCCTCAATCATAACCTGATCAAGATTTGTTCCACTATCTTAATGAAGAAGTTTTACAAGCATACCACACATGCATATACTCCTACATTCAAGATAACCACTTTCTTGACCTCAAGAAAGCACCCCTTGTAGAAACCCACTACAAGAATTCCTTACCACTTGAGAAACCTACTCAAGATTTACAAGTATTCACAAAGAATTAAGGAACGAATTCACCTGGAATTCAGAAGCAAATCTTAATCTCTTTCCTTTCAAGAATGTGATGATGATGATCTTTTCTCAATGTATTTCAAAAACATTTTTCTTCTTGGTTTCACAAAGAAAACTCTCCAAGAATGTCACAAAGACTTCACAGACACGTTTTTCTAATTTTGATTTTCAATTCTAACTCTGTTCTGAAGTTTCAAATTGGTCAAACTATTTATAAGTTTTTCATAGCCAGATAATCGATTATTTTAAAGAATAATCGATTATTTTAAAGAATAATCGATTATTTTAAAGAATAATCGATTATTTTAAAGAATAATCGATTATTTTAAAGAATAATCGATTATTTTAAAGAATAATCGATTATTTTAAAGAATAATCGATTATTTTAAAGAATAATCGATTATTTTAAAGAATAATCGATTATTTTAAAGAATAATCGATTATTTTAAAGAATAATCGATTATTTTTAATGGTAATCGTTTTTTTTTATTTAGTTTTTAAAACTCGATTTTAAGTCTCAAAATAACTTTTTAACCTTTTAAACTCATCATCATACACACTCCTAATCAAATTAGACACAGATTAGCTCATGCACAAAGCACACACAAAACATAAACTCAATCAAAGCAATTTATAAGCTACTCCTATTACATAACATTTTTCTTTGACTTTGTTTTTGACTTCTAAGTTGTTGATGTCCTTGGTCAGCTTTGTTCCACAGATTTGTTATCATCAAAACCTTTAATCTTCAGAGGTGATCTCAACACTCTCAATCTCCCCCAATCTCAACAATCTCCCCTTTTTTTATGATGACAAACCAAGCTAAGCTTAAGCCAATTTGTCCATTTTACTTTGCCTTTTCTTTCACATTCAAAACCTGCAAAACAAACCAAACACAAAACCTTTCTCCCCCTTTGGTCATCATTAAAAACAAACCAAGATATGTATGTCCACAATACACAAGTATGAGCTTTATG